TCTGAAGCGGCTTTTAGCACTGGAGGGAGAGTACTGAATGATTTTAGGAGTTCTTTGACTCCTAAGATTGTGGAGGCCCTTATTTGTACTCAGGATTGGCTCCGCGCAGACTCTAGTCCATGTGTAGTTGAAGAAGATTCAGAGGAGATCGACAATATTGATGAAGGTAAGCTTTCTTAGAATAAAAATGCTATTAGTTTTGTTTAATGCTCAAGTTGATGGTGACATTTTATGAATTTCAGAGTTGAGCATGGTGTTGAAGGCTATTAACATCTCTGATGTTCCACTTCCTTTTACCAATACCCCTCGTACGAGTCCTATTATACAGGCAAACGCAAACACGTCAGGTAATTGATCTAATAATCTTATTCATTCTCTTTTTTGTGGGTTGTTTTGCTAAGAAGAAGCACAGCTACTTAGTTAAAGTTCTTTTGACTATGTTGATGAGCCAGACTATGTTGATAAGCCTTCATATTATTAACAGTTAGTTATACAATGCATATATATATTATTAACAGGTCTTGTATGCTTACATCTTCTTCCAATTCTCAGAGATCCATCAACATTAGCTGCTGCTATCTGGAAGCGAGGCTTGGAGGGGAACACGAAAACAGTAGATGCAGCGACCGAGGGCTGAAATGCAGCTGAGTATCTAACTGAATTCACAGTGACCCAAAGCAGTTGTCGTCTTCCTGAAGTTATGGTTTTTAATTATAGTTTGTAGTTTTGCTGGAGGATTCGGCCTTGTTTTAGCTACCATTTAGAGCTCAAGTTTATGGTGTTGGAACTTTGGAATGGTAATGGACCTGTTATCAGATCTACTTTAGTGGGTCTGCAAAAAAAAAATTATGCTCTGTTTTTGGAATGCTCTGTTTTCTGTTTTGAGAATAAGATGGACCCAAAGCAGTTGTCGTCTGTGTTCTGCAGCCTTATGCTTGAAGTTAGAGGATTTATACAGGCTTTAATTAGTGTAATTTGAGAACCAAGTGTCTTCATGCCAGTTACTTTTTATGAGATTGTACCAGTTCATATTTTTCCATTCCTCTATTTGTAGTGTACTTTCCATCAATATGTTTCTAGAATCTGCCCTTGTTTGTCTACGACGGTTGCAATAACGGCGACCCAATTCTCAATTTCCCCAACACGAACAGCAACACCACCGCCAGCAACAGCATCAACGCCGCCGCTGCAGCCGCCCGGAATATGCTGTACGTCAAGGTCATGACCGACGACCAGCTCCAAACCCTCCACAAGCAGATCGCCGTCTACGCCACCATCTGCGAGCAGCTCGTCGATATGCACAAAACCCTCTCCGCCCATCAAGATCTCGCCGCAGGTCGCCTCCCCCTTCTTTACTCTTTTTCTAGTAGCTTTGCAGAATGTGAGAATTTGAATTGATGTTCCAATGTTATAGCTCTTTTCCTCTGCTGAAAAGTTTTGGTTTCTTTTGGAGGCAGGAGGGAGGCTGGGGAGCTTGTACTGCGACCCATTAATGGGCGGAGTGGGAGGCCACAAGATGAGCGCCCGCCAGCGCTGGACGCCAACGCCGATTGAAAACTTCCCCCGCGTAGATCCAAGTCACCGGCCCAACTCCAAAAGTGAACGACGACATGATCCCGGCTCTGTTTTTGGAATGCTCTGTTTTCTGTTTTCTATTTGTTTCATTATGAATTGCGGTCAAATATGCGGTGCGGGCTAAACCGTACCAAACCGCTAACCTATGCTGTTTGGTTTGATCGCACCGATTATATTGCGGTCCAACATACGGTGCGGTCCAATTAATATGCGGTGCGGTGCGGTTTGTATCAAAGCGGTGCGGTGCGGTGCGAACCGCACCAATGCCCACCCCTATTCCTAATCCTCCTGCCCCACAATAGGACACAAATCCACCGTTGTCCTATAACCAAATGAATCTCCACCGTTCACTTTACGCGGCAACGTCTCCCATGTGTCGCACATCCACCCGCCGGCAACTCCACCGGCCAACCGCTGCCGCTTTCCAGGGGTTCGGTCGTTTTTATTGGAAAAATGAAAAAAACTGGGTCACACTTCATTTCGTACCAACTATGCTACCCACAGTAAGAGGGGTTTTTCAATGTCGATTCAATTCATTTTTATTTTATTTCTGTTGTGAATATCTTATTTCGGAAACTCAGGTAATCAAAATTCTAATCCCATTCAGCTAGAACTGGCAATTTACAATCCGACCCGTTGACCCGACCCGCCCGAAAAGTAGAAATTTTTATCACCTGAAATCCGAATGACTCGAACCCGATAACCCGTGATTTTTTGGGTCAGGTTGGGTGGGTTTAGCGGATCGACCCGTTAGACCCTTTCCATTTTATATATCACTCCCAAAATGATAAAATCACTCACAAATTGGTGAGATGCTTAAAAAAACACAAGGATTTAAATGACATGTTTGGAGTTTAAGTATAATAAAATATTATGTCTTTCTTCTAATAGTATTATTCTTGTGATTGTTTTTTGACGATTTGTGCAATTTGTATTTCATTAGCATGAGAGGATTTGAGAATATGTTAATTGACATGTGCTGGTAAACTATTGTCATGCATATGTGAAAACTTGTGTTCTTTGAGAAAATATGAAGCATGTTTGATATTGTTTCTGAGAGCACTCATAATCCGAAATGACTTGTAACCCGACCCGAAACCGAATGGGTTGGATCAATATTTGACCCGAAATAAGCCAACCAAACATGACCCGACCCGTAACCGAAGTCCCCAACCTGAAATTAGCCAATCTGACCCGATTGCCAGGTCTATATTCAGCATTGATTGTGGAGAAAACATAAAACGATTCCAATAAACGATCGATCTTTCTTCCTCGATTGAACACCAATCAGACTTCTTGTGTTTATTTGATAACAAAAACCCAGCCCTAACCCTTCAAAAAAACCCCAGCTCTAATTTTGCAGATTCGGAGAAGAAGATATAGCTGCATTGCGGGCAGGGCACCTAGGTTTCTGAACAAAAATTGGACAAATAGATTGGACGAAAAATTGGAGCAGAATATTTAAGCCCTATCCATTAGAAGCCCAAAGTTCATGAGTTGAAACCCAATCGGAAAAACGTGAGTATTTAAGCCCTATCCATTAGAAGCCCAAAGCTCATGGGCTGAAACCCAATCCGAAAAATGTGAGTGTTGCCCACGCGCGCTCACGAAAAAAATTAGGAACGGACACATTAATTAATTGTTTTTAGGCAACACTAAACCTGCTTTTGGTTTATATTTATATATATATATATATATATATAATAACACATGTCAATGACAGCCCATTACAGAAAGTATTCAAATAAAAAACCATTATAATTTAGTACCTAAACTGTCTAGTCATCAATCTTTAGTTCTTCAACGACTCTTCACATGTTTGAGCGTGAATGTCCATACGATTCAGCTTGGAAATCAAACCTGAAAACACAAAACTTGATAAAGAATGTGAAAACATCGCTAGTGATATCTGGCCGGTGACCTTGATGGGCCAAAAGGGTAGTCCACTAGTCCTATAAAGGGTACAGTCTAATGAGTCTATAGACCACAATTCGTTATTTCAGATTCCGAATCAGGCTGTGAATTGGACTGCTCTTTAACTCACCAATTCCGAAGTTGGGCCAGACCACGGATCTAGACAACAACACCATTTGATCCATGCCAGTCTTTTTTTTTCCCCCCCATTATTTATCCATGTCAGTCACGGTCACAGTCACAGAAAGCGACTTTCCAGTTTCCCGTTAGGCGGCCATCATCGTCTCTGTTCCCTTCCTAATCCAATCTTGTTCTTGTGCCTTCCACGATACCAGCAGCCAAACCCCCCATTAATAATATCACTGGCGCCGCTTACCCCAAATTCACATGCCCCTGGCCCCTTCTTTTCTGGTGAGGAGACGCATTGCGAATGACAATAATGGCCGTCGGCAGAGGTTTTGGCTTTAATGATTTGATTCCATTCTACTAAGAGAAACCCATCCTTACCCAACAACCAAATCCAGCATCATTTGCTTCTTCTTACCGAAAAAATCAAACCCAGTTAAACTGTGTGGGAGGAAGCAGAGAGTGTTATTGGGTTGTTTCCTTTCCTGCAGCTGAGCCTGGAAGTACTACTGCTCAATGGCCAAGGCACTAACTAGCCTTTACGAAAAACGACCTAAAGTTGGTCACTTTTTTAGTTTTTCCTAGTCAACTAATTTCTTAAGTATAGGTCGCTTAGGTAAAGCATCCTACTTTAGAGAACACAATGACCATTGAAGCCCATACTAGCCAAATTCATAAAACAAGCAAATAGTGTGTTTGTGATCACCAAAATAATAACAAATCACTTGTTCTTATGCAGTGGCGTAGCCAGACTTTCAGTTCACTGGGATCCTCAAAAATTTACTAATGCTAAAACATATGTATCTAATGAACTTTGAATTGATTGGGGTCCTTAGATAACTAACATCAACGAGAGTATGAGGTACTAAACATGAAGAATCATACTAAACCCTATGATTTTAAAAGATTTTATTGTCCAATTATTTACCAAGTGGGGTCCTAGGACCTCACTCCTCACCATCTCCCTTCGCCACGGTTTCTGATGGCCAACGCGATGGTTTTATCGCACCCGATGGGAAGGGGCTATCCTGTAAGATGTTTTGGTACTTCGATCATCAGTTTAGCGTGCTACGTTTCCTTTCCCGCCTCGTAAGTATAACATGTATGTACATTCCATTGCAATAAAGGCCTTTATATCGTTGGATCGTACACTTGTGGACCAATTTTTTCCCCCTTCCTACAATGTTCTTTGTATATTTTCCTATCTGCGTTGTTTCACCGCAGGATACCTATGGGGAAAAAAACAACAAATGACTTCCAGAACTCGAATCCAAGACTATCTGCACCTGCATCTTTATCATTTTCACCACCCTTTAATGACCCTTTGTCCAACTTCCTCATTCCTATCTCGCCCATTTCTCGAATTGATCACCCACAACCACAAGGCCACAATGCTCTTCTGGGTCAACTCTACTCATGATCAATATGCTTGATGGAATGATGGACATCAGTAGAAATGACCTCATTTACCTGCCTTTTCCCCTTGTTACCATAATCAATTAATCCCACCAAAAGGAAATAAAAGAGGGGGTAAATTGGAAAACCTCCACCTCTCTCTCTCGGCTACCTGCATTCCATGGCTCAACCGCAGGTTGTACGACTCCTCTGTCTTCCATTTCTATCTTGGGTCTAAATCAGTCATTTCTCCAGCATTTGTTCTTTTCTCATTGTTTGATTTCCCACCTCTGAATCACTGCACAGTGTACTACTCTTCCTTCAATTTCCCGTTCTTTTTTCGCAACATTAGTTTCTGATTTTTGCGTTCATCATAGGAAGAAGAAGGGTGGCCACTGCGGTCACAGTTGCAGCCCCTGAATGCGAGAGTCGTCACAGGGTCGGTCTCCTTCAACACATTTCTCACTGCTTCCCCCACCTGCTCTGAATCAGATTCCTCTTCTGGTCTTGACACCGAGGTCAGTGAACAACACACAGTGCCCTTCGAAAATCATCTATACCTCCTTTTAACCTTGCGCAGTAAACAAAAAAGGAGGACACTTTCCTTTAGTTATGGTGCTGCTGCCATCGGTCCTGTGTGTTTTCAGTTTCCACTTCAGTCTACATTTTGAGGATGTTGGAGTCATGTGATTTGGTACTCAGGAGATTATACTTGCCCCACCTTTGGTTATTGTTTGTCTCTTTGTTTTCTTCCCCCCATTTAGTGAAGTTGAACTCTGCCCAAAATGTTTGTTTCTTAAACACGGCCAAATTAGGGACTAATTGGGAACAGATGGGTGCCCCAACCCTGGAAAGCTGTCATTTAGCTTGAAAGGGATGCATTTAGCAGCACGTGCTAACATAGTTGGATTGTCATGTTCTTGCTTGTGTGCGTTTTTAGTTGTCAGATTAATGCGATAAAATCATTCATAAATAAGTCTAGCCCAAATGACCCGACACATGAGAATGTACGGCAGTACGAGGCAATCCAACAATGTCAATATGCGCCTTCTTAGAGGGTATCATGGAATTTGGGATTATCTTTTTCTTGAAATTGGTAGAATTTGGTACTGGACTAAAGAGTTGGTCAAGAGTTGGAGGACAGTAATAGTGTCAATTCAAGGGAGGCAGCCCACAAGTGAGCAGGCTGCAACCTGTGGCCACAGTGAGTGGAGGGACTGATGATGTGTTGCTGAGGATGTCACCGTCGTTTGTTTGGGAACTTGTCAGATGTTTGGTTTTTGCTGATGTGATCTTAATTTTCTGGTGTTGATTGAATAAATAGTGGCATGGCATCCATCCCAAGTAGCAGACGTGTCCCTGCAGTTAGCCCATGTGGGTTTTGGACAGCTAAACAGCCATCTCCATCAATATCCTTTCATACATATTTCTTCAGATATTTCTTCTGAGACCAATCAATAATGCATCGCTACAGTACTCTCAAACAATTTGAGTACTAGTAGAAAGAACTGATGAGTTTCAACCTCAATCAGATTAGAAACAGAAGTAGTTACTGAGTTGTTGGAGCTGTCTCGTTAAAGAATGTTATCTTTCATTATAATAACTTAACATTTGTGGAGCTGGACAGTTTGACTTGGAAATCTAATCTGTAATAGCAAAACCAATGTGTGTTTTGTGTCCCCCAGTCCACAGGGTCTTTCTTCCATGATAAGAGCATCACATTGGGTAGCCTCATTGGGGCTTCCAGCATCTTAGAACTGTCCAGGAAATCGACGAGGGGAAAGAAGAAGATCAAGGAACCAGTGAAGGAGAAGAAGGGTTGCGGATCGAAACCATGGTTATTCTCCTTGTGTGCAAAAGACCCCGTTCGACGCTTGAACAACAATGCAGGCAGTGGTCCATCTCTGGGCCACTTTCTTGCAGTGGAGAGAAGATCTCACTGGACGCAGCAGAAATTAAAGCCCGAGAATGCTCTACCATAGTATCTGTTTATGCGCCCCTAATGAGCTAGTTCTTTGTGTGTCATCACTTAGTTCTGAAAGTGCCAAATTCAGCCATTTTAAATGGCTTTCTTGTGTGTGTCATCAAACCCTCTTAGCTCCTTCCAACTAGCTCATTGGATTTTCCTGCTGTTATTTCCTGTCTGGTGTGCTTTCTTCCCAGTTCACTGTCAATGTATTTTGTGCATGAATTATGCAGTAATTGGCTTCTTAGTAGATATATAATATAGGACCATCAGTTTTGAGGCAAATGTGAGCAGGCTAGTAGGTGAGTGGAAGGACAAACTGGTGAGATCAGCAGTAGAAGACTCCAGTACTAGCACACTGACTGTCACATGGCTCTGATGCAAAATGTATAGTTTTAGGGGTAAAGGAGGAAGCGGCCTGGTTGACTAGTGGCTCCAACAGCCCACAAAAATGGGTTCTTTTCAGATGCTACAAATATTATCGATTAAGTATCGCATTATTAGTTAGTTGTTAAGGATATTGTTTTATAACAGAATGGATGAACTGTTGCCGAGAACTCTCTCGGCTGGATTTAAGAATTCTGATTTTGAGACTTTGAAAACCCATCGATATACATATTTTTATCATCTTTTGTGATCGTAGTCCTACACAAACCAAAATTGGATTTAAGCTGTTGTGGCTAGTAAGGTTCTAATGAAATTGGTTAAGAAATTGAATTCATTTGAGACTCGCTCTAATGAAAGTATCATTTAATTTTAGGGTGTATTTGGTTCAATATGTTTGTACACTGATGTTATTTGTCTCAATTGAATTCTGTGATAGACACGTAGTTATTTGTTTATTGTGATTCGGATTTGATTGTTAAAAAAAAACATCATTTGGTTAATATATCAAAAGATAAAAAAACATTCTATTTATCAAATTGCATATATATTTGCAATTTCTTTTTGTTAGAACATTTAATACATTGAAAGATCATGTTAATATATCAAAAGATCAACAACAAAAAAACATTCAATTTATCAAATTGCATATATATTTGCAATTTCTTTTTGTTAGAACATTTAAATACATTGAAAGATCAACAACAAAAATTGTATTTATGAAAATATTACGTAATGCGCATCCGGGGAATCGAACCCCGGTCAGTACCGTGGGAGGGTACTATGATACCACTACACTAGATGCGCCTTTGGTTCATATTTGAGAATTTGATCTTCCAATTTGCAAACATTCAAATAAAGCTGAGAACTCGACATCAGACCGGTCATTCACGAGTTAGCACGACAATGTACGAGCAAAAATACTTCATGAGTCGTGCCGACCATAAGCTTCATGTGCACTGGCACGAGGAAGGATGCGAACAAGGAAATAGTGGGTCTGGCGGAGCTAATATTTTTAAAACCCTATTTAGGCACGACAAAGTATGAAAATATACTTATATATATATATATATATATGGTGACGTCTTCGGTGCACTCACTTTTTTGGGTGCATTTAGTGCACTCACTTCCTAACCGTCATTTTAAACATGCGATTTATGTCAAAATGATGTCATTCATCACTTATGATGTGATGAACAATAACGCACATGAATTTGCACAAAAACCATTGAAGATTTACTTTAATTTGAAGGATTTAGAGTTTAGAGATTTAGGGTTAGGGTTAGGGTTTACAATTTGGGGTTTAGGGATAGAACTCAAAATTGGAGGTTAAGGGCTTAGGGTAATCCACTAATTAGTTGTTATCATATGTCATATCATCATATTACACTAATTCTACAAATTAAAATTCAAAATCCGACACCTTAAGACTAGTTTTTGAGTTGGGTGCATTGAGCGCACTCATTTTTGTGAGTGCACCGAAGTAGTCACCTATATATATATATAATTACGAGTACAAAAAATATAACTACACAAATAATGAATTATTGCTTTTAGAACTAATCATAAAAATATTAATTGTAATAACCACTCTAAATCAAAACATTCGAAAATAATTCAAAAAGCATTGTTAAATCAATTCCGCTATTTCAATTTTTCTTCTTCCCTTGATTTGTTACTTTTCTAAAACCTACCTAATTAATACTTTCATTTCCACTAATTTTTTTCTTCTTTTTCATTTCCGTTTTATTTTATTTCTTTTCATTATGAATGACAATGGGGCAAGTCACGGAGAGTATCTCGAGGGTCTTGTGGCCTCGGTCCAAGCCGGGTATTTTACTTTTGAGATGCTAGTTGAGGCAGGTTGACCTATACGTGTATGTATTTGAAAAGATAAACTATTTTGATATTAAAAATTTTATTAAAATTTTGAGAAACAAACTATTTTTGAGAAATGAAGATTTTCTTCTAATTACAAATTTATTATAGCTAATATGATGTACTAAACATAAATTACCAAGTAATTTGAGTAAAAGTATATAGATAAAGTGGATCGATAGTGGGACAGGTGAGTGCAGGTCATGTTGAAGCTATTACCCATGCTCGCCTGCCCCACATATAAGGGCGGTATTACTTGCCCTAAAACAGACCCCCTAAAACTGACCTTACAGGTCGAGTCGAACATTGTCATTCCTACTTTTCATTAATCACGAATGTAACTGCGACGCAAATAGACGCAGTACGATTCAAACCATGTCCTGTCAAGAACCTGATCGAGCAAATTTGAAAAATAAACTTACACGTCCCTTTGGGGGAATCACCAACTGCCATAATATACTCCACACACTTGGCAAAAGTGTCCATAATGAAGAACTCATACCCCCTTAACCTTGCCAAAACAAGCATGAAAATTGACGAATCATTACCAAATATGACACGAAATAAACGAGTTTGAGACATGCATGTAATGTGCCGGCCTAACACGACACAGTAGCCAGATACATATACAACCCACATAGTCTGAGGTAGACATGGATGGTGTGTAGGAGTGTGTCGGGGCACCCTTAAAATTTGGAGAAAAAAATTAACAAAACCCTAGTGGTAGTTTGAGTAAGCGAAAATGGAAATCAAATAACGTTATTAGTACACATATTTTTCATTTTACTACACTCCATTTATTGTTGTGATTTTAACATCAATGTAACTATAAACGCGTAGCCCTTACCCTCAACTTTTCTAAAATATAAAATTAAAACACGGGCTACCTCTTATCCCCATCACATTCTAAACCGTGATATTATCCTAAAAAGTTTGATAATGTTTCTTATTATTTTCTTTTTTAGGATCTTAAGAATTATTATTATGTTAAGAATGATCGGTTATTTTATGTGAATTAAAAGAATTTTTGTTGGACTTGTATTAGTAGGATATTTTTTAATTATTATTTTAATTTAATTTGTGAAGCATAAATCCTATATAAAATTTCTCGATCCGCCATTTCATACGGTGGTATCATAGGCATTTCCTCCATGGTCTTGTCGAATTTCTGAAGTAGGCAGTTGTTAATACGGGTGAGCTGCTGCTGGGTCGGGTTCTTAGAGGAGCCATGGACTGTATTCATCTCCGTGCTTAGGGAAGAAAGACAAATCACGTGAACTCCTTAACTGCTCTCTGCCTCCATTGGCAATTAGATTGACAAATTGTATATTTCCCGCTTCTTCTCTCTTATTCTGTTTTTTTCTTTTTGTCTGTTTTTGGTCGACATAACTCTACCTTTCAAACTAGGACGGATGACTGGATTGTGCTGTGAAAGTGACATCATACGCATTCACTAGTTAATTTTTGTTTCTTTGACCCCTAATAATATATCAAGGATATTTATGAACGGGGTAGGTTTCCTCGGACCAAACCAAAACGGATTGACGCGAGTTCTGTTCATCTTGCGAACGGTGTTAACGTACAGATTTTACGTTAACACTAAGTATATGTTAAATAGATCCAAATCGTATTAACAATCCGCTCCGGTCACAAGCAGCAGAAACAAAAACATTCTACAATTTCTATCTACGTATCTACCTTAAGTATGTTTCTCCGTACATGTAGAAAAGGGAAAAGTGAAACAACTGTTCAACATCTCTCTCATAAAATAAAATAGTGCACGTTTCCAACTTGCCAGAATTTTCAGCAGTTAGGATTAAAATAAATCCAGCAATTCAACCTTAAGAACTAGAGAAGGATGGCTGCTCCTGTCGGCTGCTACTACACTCAACTAACTGATCTCCAGAAATGAAAGGCGACCAAGTCAGATCACTGGAAAACCCCTATTATGCCTTTGACTTCTTTCCTACTCTGCTTTTTGAGTTTTCCTAACAATGGCGGTCCACTATGTACTGCTTCTAACTCGTCTAGCACGCCAGCAAATTTTCCCATTTACCAAATCAAAAGCGTCATTTATTATTACTATAAGGGTCCATAAATCACCTCTCTTTCTTGACTGCAATAACTATGGATATTCGCTCACTCGGGATTAAATTGTGATAGGGATTTTCCAATTACATTTCATTCAACTTGATAATCAATGATTCATTTATCTATCGGATCGATTTCCACTCTCCGCTAGCATACGTGCATCCCGGAACAATGTCTGCATCAAGTAATCTTGCTCCAAGCTTTTTGGTTACCTTTATTTATTTCACAAAATCTACACAAGAATTGCATTCATTCTTTTGCCCCATACCAAATCAGGTAAACCAAATCCAACAACAAAGAGCAGCAAATGCTGCTGCTTCAATCTCAAGTAAACCAATAGATTACAACAAATAAAGGAACCCACAGAGACACACTTCAACTCTATCTTCACCAAACTCACCAACCAGCCCCCATCTCCTTTTCCCATACCCAAATTTCTCATCAACTTTGCTTATTCCCCAATTTTACAATTTCTTAACCAAATTGGACCCTCCCCCACTCCTTCACTTCCCCCTATCTATTTTATATTTTTATGTATACAACAAATGGGTCCTTCACCGACAACCCCCTCCACTTCCCAATGAGATTTCTTCAACAGTTATTAAGGGAATTACTTCATTGCAAGTGGCTGGCCACAAGTAACAAAAAGGAGAAAGCTTTGATTGCCAATATAGGGAATCTTTGATTACCAGATTGTGCTGTGGTTCTTCTTTCTCCCAATCATCCATGGCTTCTTTACCTTTCTTATTACTGGCATGGTTTGTCCATCCACTCATTCTCTGCTGCAATCCTTCCCGAGCCACGGCCTCCCATTTTCCCAAATGACCCCAAGTTTGCCGACAGCCCCTTGAAGCTGCTGCTTCCTTCGCTCAAGTTTCGCGACTTCCATGACTTTCTCAGCTTTGGGGAGCCAAACCCTCCAAGGCTTTCATCAGCAGCATCTTCACTGATCTTGACTCTTGCAACCACGAGACGGGCAATGGTGCTTCGACAGAAAGGGCACACAGGAGGTGTCACCGATGCAGTTGTCGGGTTAGGCTTGTTGTGGCAGCAGAGGGCCAGCGTGCAATGTGCACACATTTGGTGACCGCAGTCTTGGACTTCGATCGTGCACACCTGCTCAAAGCAGATGCAGCATAGTTCCGTATCGCTTACCTGCATTCCCATTATTCCAAATCAGCTTACAGTTCAATTGCTTAA